ATAAACAACCTTGACCAGCTATCAAGTGCTTGGTTTCATTCAAGAGAGACAACTCCGTTAGTCCTTTTTCATTAGTTTGTGAAGAGTTAACCCCCTTTGTTTACTTGCTAGCAGACGACATTTTCAGTGATCCTCAGTATGGATGATTTAAAGAAGAGGAAGTTGATTTTAGAGTATTATAACAAGGATATCAGATCAGCTAAAGTGATTTCAAGTAGAACAGGCACCCCTTTGTCCACTGTTTATCGTGTTTGGAAAAATATTGCAAATGGATATGGCATTGAGCACCAGGGAGGCGCAGGTAGGCCCAGAAATTTGACTGTCGGTGACAGGAGGCGGCTTGGTATTCTTGTTTCTAAAAACAAACGAAGGAGTTTAGAAAACTTAAGGCTGGATATTATTGATAGTGGAACTGTGGCTGTCTGTCAGGAGACAATTAGAACAGAGCAGCATGCAATGGGTTGGCAAAAAAGTCGAGGAATTCCATCACCGATCATGAAACCTGAACAAAAGGAGCGAAGGTTGAACTGGTGCTTACAGCATAGAAATTTTAACTGGGACAATATGATTTTTTCAGATGAAAGTTCTGTGTGGCTGTTTCCTAATACACTGAAAGTCTGAACCAAACAAACTGAAAAAAATTTGTATCAGCGCCCAAAGTACAGTCTGAAATTTAACGTGTGGAGTGGCATCTCAGTGTTAGGGGCAATGCCCCTCTGTGTATTTGAAGGGAATATGAACAGTGAGCAGTACACAGATATTCTCGAAGGACATTTACTTCCATCTGCTCACATGTTCTATGGAAATTGTTGGATTTTCCAGCAGGACAACGACCAAAAACATCGTTCAAAGCATTCACAGGCCTGGTATCGGACCCAAAATATGACATTATTAGATTGGCCAAGCTATAGCCCTGACCTAAATCCAATAGAAAATGTTTGGGGACTTATGAAGGAAAGTGTCAATAAGAAAAATCTGACAAATATTGCTGAAATGAAAGAAGAGGTGGTCCGATATTGGGACAGCATGGACCACGACTTTCCAACTTCTTTGATCAGTAGTATGCCCCGCCGCATTGAAGCCTGCATTGCTTCCCATGGTGACTTGACAAATATACTAACTGTTCACCTGTCTTTGAATCTGGAGTTATGTTCTGCTAATATTCATATTTAACAGGTGAGTAATGAGTGAAAATATCCAAAAAAAAATACAATCTTTAAATTCTCAATAATTTCTGGTTGTACTGTACCATTGAATTCAAGCAGAACAGTTCCCCGCGAATAGCTGCAAGCTCGCTGATGCGGCGTTCAGCAATATTCACTCAAGTGGCACCAGCAGGTTTCTACACGTGATATGGGATATCTCTTCAAAAGCCGTCTTTCTCCTTGGTAAGCACAATGAACATCGGGCAATTCTGGGGTTTGAACTCACGGTAATCGGATCCACGGTTAAAGGTCACATAAACCCTAGGGGGGCGGTGGGGTAGCCTAGTGGTTAAAGCGTTCGCTCGTCACGCCGAAGGCCCGGGTTCGATTCCCCACATGGGTACAACTTGTGAAGCCCATTTCTGGTGTCCCCCGCCGTGATATTGCTGGAATATTGCTAAAAACGGCGTAAAACCATACTCAGCTCAGCTAGGGGGTACAAATACATAAATCACTAACTGGCATCGTTATAAATGAAACCCCGTCATTAAAACTACTCATTTCGACCTTTAATTGACTTAAATCGACCTTTTTGACAACAGTGCACAATTCTAACCCGCGAACGAAATTTCAACCAATCAGAGCGGCGCGCCTCTGTGACGTCATATGAGGAATAGCTTTGAGGGCCGATGCAGAATTCATCTACATTTTAGGGGTTAAATTATCTTGTTTACAGGCTTGTATAAACCTGAAATCGTGACAATTGTTGTGGAAAATTAAAGCTATATGTTCTAACAATCTACTGTCATTTAATTTTGTCACCTGCTTTGCCTAGTTTCCGAGTTACAACTTATTTTCATAGACGATTCTGTCAAAATCGATTGGTGTCGTTAGGCCCTATTTGTATAATGACTGATCCAAATTGATCCCATTTCTGTGTTTTTTTTACCTCGATATTTAATCATGTCATGTCAAAATCTGTTTGTATTCTCAAAACAGTGTCGGCCCATAAGTTTTCACATGCAATACAGCAATTAATACTCCCTTGTTGTAACCCGTGTTAGGTGGTATAAACCTACACGTTATTTGTCATCATTCACTTGATGGTCAGTTAATGAATTTATAACAGGTATAATTAGTGGTAACACACTTAGATTACCCGACAAAGGTTCCCATTTGGCATTTCTTGTGTCTGGAGTAAATATTCAACATTATAAACATCGATCAAAGGATTAACCGATAACACGCTGATTGATTAATTACTTTTATCTTACACAGCGGAATTGTCAAAAGGTAGTGTTTATGTATGTAGATTTACTAATCTATACTGAATACAATCTGTCGTGTCGGTGTCTGCGTAAAAACAACGTCCTTCTTTCAAAGGATTAACCGGCAATACATTGATTGATTGCCCATTATTGGCTAACTAAATTACTGTTTTTAAAGAAAGGCGGACATTATGCAATTAGTTGCCAGGTGTGCTATCTTGGGTGACCAATGAGACTATACACCAATACCTGAAAAGATTTATCACTTTTTCGTATATTAAGCTGTTAAAAGACACATCATTTGGAACAGTTTTGTGGATATTGATGGATACATTCCTCGAACAAGGTAATGGCCTGATATTGTTATTATAACTTTAATCTGTTTTAATTTTAATATTTGCATTTTGTTTTTATTCATTTGTCGTAGCATTCAACAGAATCATTGTTTTCGCCGTGAAGTGTAATGAGACAGACAACATGCACTAGGGTGTGTGTGCGAATTATGATTCACATTGGCAAACTATAAAATGTCTAGATATTACAGTTCTGTTATAAATTCACTATAAGTATCAGCAGATCGTCTGCTTTTTATTTAGTTTCAAAATGCATACAAGTATGATAATAAACTAATTAGGATTATAAGACCAAATATAAAGACGCGCATTGACTAGTATCTACATACTGGTGAGTGGACATTAACCATGGGAATGTAGCAAGAAATTTATCGCGCAGTATTGTGACTTCGACCCCCACCTCACTTCCGTGGAAGAAATCGTTTGTTATAAGTTGTGTCATGCAAAATCCGTTTGGTTATGATTCCAATACATATTTAACTACGAGTAGAAAGTAGTCTTGATTTTCTAACTTGATGAAAACAAACTCTCATTAATTCTAACAGATTTTTTTATTTTTAAAAATGGCGGCGCCCTATCGGGAACATCCGCCAGTCTGAGGATAAATGGTATTTAGGTTTGTTTTCACCGAGTTACAAAATCAAAACTACTTTCTACTGGTAGTAAAATATGTATTTTATTGATGGCCAATAGGATTTTGCATGACATAGCGTATAACATAACAATTTCTCTCGTGGCAGCGAGGTGGGTGTCAATATAATACTACTTAAAATATTATTGTTACTTCGACCACAACCTCACTTCCGAGGAAGAAATCGTTATGTTACAAGTTGTGTCATAGAAAATCTTTATGGTCATCAATCATATGCATATTTTACTACAACTAGTAAGTAGTTTTGATTCTTTAACTTCCGTGGAGCGATCTGAACACAAGTAAGATATTGTTTCAGGCTTCCACAACGCTCGCTTCGCACTCACAAACATAACCCATTTTGCACGAACTGCCGGGTCCTGTGGAAATATGTGCATGGGGACACCATCGCCCGACCCCTAGGAGCAATTGACGACAAAGCAACGATTCGGTATGTCGTCGTTGATGTCGAGAAATCATCAAAATGATGAGCGTGCTACACATTTTCTATACAACTAACTGAAAATCGTTCCTCATATGACGTCAATGCAGTGCTCAGGCGACAGAGTTACGTAACCTGTCTGTGGTTTCGTTGGCGGGCGAGAGGGAAGCAGGCGACTTTTTGGCCACTTTTAATCGCTCGGTATTAATTAACCACAAGTTTTGAAAGAATAAATTTGGTGTTCCGCATAAGACTAACCACAAATCTTTCATATGTAATGGTTAAAAGAGTAACAAAAAACAAAGTTTATTGGTTCTTTAAGGGAGGCAACTCTGCAGACCGATTTATATCAGATTAATGTGGAAACAGTGGTGCCACCAAACAGAATATATGAGTATCAAAGTGTACGTTGAAATGAAATAAAGTTTAAATAATATAATGTCAAGAAGCAGTACTGACAAAATGTGTAACCTTACTCGAGGGGCGGTGGGGTGGCCTAATGGTTAAAGCGTCCTCTCGTCACGCTGAAGGCCCGGGTTTGATTCGCCATATGGGTACAATGTGTAAAGCCCATTTCTGGTGTCCCCTGTCGTGATATTGCTGTAATATTGCTAAAAGCGGCGTGAAACCACACTCACTCACTCAAGGCCAAGACGTTTCGCCTGGTATTACTGCTTGTGTTAAAATGGATACAAGTAATTTCCTGGTGAAATATATGTGGCTGAACTGGAAGACTGATTTTAGAATACAGATGAAAGCTCATATATAATTTTGTATTTGATCAAATCTAAAAATCACAAACACTCAAGTTTCTAACCGTTATGTAGTTTCCTTAAAATATATATCAGTTTGCCATTTTCCCAAGCTTGTCCGTTTCTAAGATATAGACTTTCATATGCGTGCGTTTCACTAAAAATCATGCTTTGTTGAAGGTACCATGTGTCAACGGTGACGCACAGAATACCGGGTTGTCAAAAGGCAAGAGAAGGCAGTAAAGAAGTCTCTCGTACAGACCCTGAAGCAAATATATCAAGAAAGCCCATGCAAGTCTAGAAAATGTGGCAAGTCTAGATTTCCGAAAGATACAGTGCTCGTATCCAAGTGATCTAAGGGAAATAACTCGTGTCTTACAGAAGTTTTTCACGGACATGACATCACAGCGGCCGCCATTTTGTAGCCGCCGACTGATAAAAGTCAGCTATGATAGTTTCCTTTTCTTCAATGGAAAAGCCGTTTATGTGGTCACCGGTAAGCTGTTATGATATGTAGAACTACACGGACAATTTTCATGAAAATATTTACATTCAATGGGAATTCCTTGTCTTGTTTAGTTGCGTATCATCTCTGAATTTGAGCTGTTTGAAATCGACTGTTTCGAATCTGCTAGCTCGACAAGGGAAAATAGACCATGAAACTACTTCCAATCGCATATACCACCACGCGCAATTTGCATGATAAATAACAGCTCATTAATACATTGTGTTCAGTTTTGGTTATGCCTAGTTTGGGTTGACTGTAGAAATATGAAGTATGGAACTGAAAGTGTGTACGATGGGCGGTTGAACTTGCCTAATTTTGTATGCAGCTTTGCATGAAAAGACTAACTTGAGTTTGTGGCCTGAATGTCTGAGCTGAGCAATGACAGCTTGTAAAAAACATGGAGAGCTGTATATGAAAGTCATTGATTTTACCTGCCTGACACAATGTTGAACAACTACATCAAATGTTAATATGCACTTATGAAAGTTTTAATTCAACACTTCTGTTATGACCAAAGAATAATCAAATCTATGCAAATTAAAGACTGAAGCAAGTAGGTTTTTTCCTTTATTAAAACATCAACTGGTGGAGAGTCAAAGCCAATTCAGAGCTGATGAAAATGTATAAAATGATACATGTATATCAATCCATAGTGGTGATGTTTGAGAACTCACAATATTTCTCTGATAAATTAATGTATCCTACAACTGAAAAACATGGGGGTTGCATGACAACACAAACTATTGAGGTATCATGGGACCCTCTATTATCGCGGTAGTTAATGTTGCCACCATCAGGATTATGAACGGCTACTGACATTTAGCATTTTATATATATTTTCAGTTGACTGATGTTTAATCTTCATTTCTGTCACAAGTACTGTGACACATGATCACAACTCGTTTAATACCATTGCGGCAATTTCGATTGTCTCGTTTGACCCGGAAATTGAAGCAACTCTCTATTATCGCGGTATTGCTATTTTCTTACTATGGCACGCGGTACAAGCAGATGACACTGTGAAACGTTTACTAAGACAAGTAACGAATCTAAATAGTTTGATCATTTAAAAATATTTAGGAATTTCACTCACATTAGTAATATCATCATGTTTTTAACCCAAACATCTGAAACTTCTATTCATTTGGATACAAGGTAACAATAACGTTACAAAATATTGTTTTTCCGGCTTAAAACGTACCATACAAGTTGCTGCCGTGTGCAGAGTGAAGTTGCATAAATACGTTACTTCCTGTTATATTTTTAGCACGGAAAATACGCAAATGACCTTATAGTTGTCGCAGGAGTAAGTTTTGATTCATGCTAGATGTAATGGCAGTAGGGGTCATGCTAGTTTCAAAATGTTCTAGAGCTCACTGAAAAGATGAATGCTTTAATATTTCTCCGATTACACATAACATTCAAATGAAATAGATGACTTTTTCAAGAGCGATGAATATAGTTTACGTAATTTGCATATGTAAACAGCCAATGCGGGGCGTGGTGTTTCTGCTTTCCCGATGTTTTCGCGTGCCGCGATAATAGAGAGTCCCAGTATAATATGTTTGGGGATTTCTTTTGTGCTGGGAGGATGTCAATCACAAGGAAAGAGAAATTAAGTACCCTAAACTCAAAATACAGAACAGAATACCACACAGAAGGTACTCGGTGCCTTAATGGCAGTACCCATATTCCTCAATCCAAAACCAAGAAAGATCCATTTTGTATTTCCTGTTCGATTGATTACTAATGATGCTCTGCATTGCGAAATATTCGTCACTCTGTATGTTCCTTTCTTTCTTGTACGACACACTGATATACATCTCATGCAACAGTATGACAGTTCCGATCAAGAAAACAGAATGAACTCATCCTAGGGTACGTTTCTGTATATACAACCCCTTCAATAGTAACAAAGAGACTAATACCCAAACCATGATAATATGTGTATGGAAACAAAAGCATGATACATCGAAACTCAACATTAAGTTATCCTTGCCATATGTGTTTCTGGATTCTTAAGAAACATTCATTATTATCTTGCTATTCACTTGAACAACTGCAAAACATCTCACTAACTTGTAGTTAATTATGACACCTTTATCTCACACAAAAACCATCACATGAGAATTTGAAGATAAAGCTACTCTGTTTTCAATTTTGCGGTCCTTTATCGTTGATTTATAACAGGAGATACTTCGCCCACAGGCAGAAATAATAAAGACGTATATGGGTTAAATGGCCTAGAGTGTGGGGGTGCTCGAGGGCTGCTGCATTAGTAGTAATGAAAATGCACCTGCAGCTACCGCTGCCCTATTAACTACCGCTACTAGGAAACCCTTGCCATGGCGCAACCGCTGCCAGGCACCGAATGTAAAAGAATATTGAGCCAGGGCAACTACCGTTGCCAAGCCAACTGTTTGCTGTAAAGCAAACCCTAGTCATCAGCTGTAAAGCAGAGTGGATATACCTGATCCTTGCTGTAAAGCAGAAGACCCTAACAGTGCAAAATATAGACGTGTTGCCAAATATAACAGCAGCCCACGAGCACCCCGTTACCCTAGACTGTTGTATTCCAGGAGGATGAATATACATACTTACCAAGAATGGCGGCACTGATATGTACAGCTGGAGAGAAAAACAAAGAGAAAGTGAAATGTTGAAGAGAAGCGGGTGAAGGATGACAGCGTCGAACGAACGATATGATGGCGGCGATACCGGCGGAAAGCTAATGGCATATGACGTCATATGACGTACGCAAAACTGATGACGAAGCATGTCTGCGTACGCAGAAGAGTAAGCGGAGGTAGATGATATAATTAAAGCTTCGCATCCCTGCCATAAGGGCATTTAGATTTAGTACTAAATGCTATTAAGATCGCTAAATATAATATAAAAACTGAACGTATAATAAACACGAAACAACGTTCTGTTTTTAAATTACATTTAGCGGTCTTAAATCCAAAATAACGGACTGCAAAATTGAAAACAGAGGAGCTTTATCTTCTTTCTAGCACGACTGATAAGCGGTTTAAATCCGGACTCTTTGGAGTGAAGGGTCCTTTTTCCTGGAAATCGCTTGGAATCGTCCAGTTGATGGGGGATGGCGGGGTAGCCTAGTGGTTAAAGCGTTCGCTCGTCACGCCAAAGACCTGGGTTCGATTCCCCACATGGGTACAATGTGTGAAGCCCTTTTCTGGTGTGATATTGCTGGAATATTGCTAAAAGCGGCGTAAAACTGAACTCACTCACTCCAGTTGAGGGACAGGTTGTGTAATGAACAAAATAAGACATTTTCAACAACATAAATGCTTTTTTTCAGGAACCAATATGCTTGTATTTGTAACAACTAGCATATATAGATAAAAATAATACAGTTTATACTGTAAGTACAATTATTTGATTTTTCTCAAGACAATTATTGATCTCCCCTACTGTATGACAATCAACTCAACCAATTTCAAGCTGTGAAGTTTAGTGGCCCCTAACTTTATTCACGGAAATAATTGTTGATAACCACCCTACTATTCTCAATTTGGAAAAGACCTGACATGCCAGCTTTTATTATGTGGGAAACATGGACAGTGGAAGGACTGGGCATTGCGTCTGGGACGGAAGCGGTCAGGTTAGAACATGTGGGCCAGCGTGTTTTGTTGGCGTCATGCCTGATAGATCCAGCCCCAGTTTGAAGTATGGAATACTGCCAATTTTACACTGCTGAATAATTTTCCAGCTTTGAGGTTTCTTCACTGGGATTAGGGTCAAGAAATACTTCTTCAAACCATTCACTTTTTACTTCAAAAAACATCAAAGATGCTGCAGAGGTAGAAACAAAAGGGTCAACGAGTTCATTGTATTCGTAAGCATTGAATCGATCACTTTAATTAGCGGTCCTTAAACTGCCATTTAAGTACGGTTTTGATGAGCTCTCAGCCAATCAGAATCGAGTATCACAATGTCGTGCTAGAATGTTTATTTGACGCCAACACCCCTCGTTATAGCATGAGCAAACACTGTCATTTGAAAATGTGTAACATCCTAAAACCATGGATAATTAAATGATTTATTATAGACTGATGCGGGACTAAACATGCGCAGGGGAAATTAAACTGGGGAAGTAAACGGCATGTCATAACAATTTACAAATAATATCCAGTCCTGTCGATCTTCGGGTAGTCTTGCCACCTATATATTTTGAGACATTTAATACGATGGTTGATTTAAGCTTTTCTGTGGGTATCATACTCTTTTACATATCTCAACATAAACGTTATGAAAGACACGTAAGATGATAATCAGTAGATGAGACATATTCAACACACAAGAAAAAAGCATAAAATATCATTGAGATGACCCCTTGTGCCTGTAGGCAGCACATGCATTTAATGCCAGGTGAGTCGATGGTCCATCATCATAACTGGCTGAGCGACCTAATTGCCATCTGTAGTGTGATCCCCTTTTTTTCAGCAGCTATTCATAATTTTTCTTAATTTTACCCAATTTTATGAGTAAGCATGCTTTTCTGGATATCCTATTACTCATCCCACTGAATGCCCAGTTAGGCTGATGTGGGTTATTTCGACATATGCTATTTACAATTGTGAGAATTTTAGGGATACAGAGTAACAGCCTAGAAACAGTTTTTTTTCTATTTCCGGCAGTACTCAGGAATTGGGATAGAAAACTTTGACAATGGGCCATTTTCAGGATTATTAGCCATTTTCTGAATTTAGAATGGGCCTCTGCCCTTGTATCAATAGTAAACTTCAAAATTTTATTGGGCCATTTTTTATTCTAATGTGGAACATGGCCCATGGCCTGTGCCTTTCCCAATCCCTGGTACTTTAGCACCTCTTGGCCCTTTTTGTAGCTCTGCAGGCCCTTGTTGCGTAATGTTCATTAGGACTGCATGTTATACAAATTGCAATCATTTTTTGTGGACTGCATTACCCACAGTTGATGTGAATCTTTGAAATTGATTGAAAAAACAGCTAAAACACTGAAGTGATATTTCCCTTGTATCATCTCTTATGTAACCATGGCTACAAAATGGTATGACTGACGATGCTGTATAATTTTCACATTACTATGTAGATCTACATGTACAATCAGTGTCAGCTCATAATGTATCACAATACAGATACTTACCAGGGCTCGATTTAGTGCTTTGTTACTTGCACTGGTGCAACCCAATCTTACAAAGTGCGACCTAGTAATATTAGTCTAACTTGCACCAAGTCAATTTTTGAGTGGGTAAACTTCAGAATAAAACATTTAGCATATTTCTTTCATTACATATTGCAATAAAAGCAGTGCAACTGGAATTTGGCTGGTGCAACTAGGCTTTTATCTTTGGTTGCACCTGGTGCAAGTAGGTTAGCATCTCTTAAATCGAGCCCTGCTTACCCATGAAGATCTTATTCACTTGCTCGGGCGGTGGGGTATCCTAGTGGTTAAGCTAGTCTAGTGGTTAAAGTGTTGGCTCGACATGCCATAGACCCGGGTTCGAATCCCCTACAATGTGTGAAGCCCATTTCTGGTGTCCCCGCCGTTATGTTGCTGGAATATTGCTAAAAGCGGCGTAAAACCAAACTCACTCAGTCAGTCAGTCATTCACTTGCTCATTCAGTCACTTCCATCTATGCACACACTCACTCACTCACTCACTCACACTCACTCACTTTTCCAGGATGAGTAATGCCAATGGACACCTTCATCTGTGGTACCTGCCAGGGTGCCTTCAATGAGATCGAGCTGTTTATGCGCCACAAGGGGGAAGGGTGTGAACCACAACAACCAGAAGTCATACAGGTGCATGTCAATGGATCAGGGGAGATAACTGAATACACAGGTGAGGGGTCAACCCATTTTACTTATATAGTTGTATATTTGAATTTTCCTTTTACCTTTGATATCTTAGTATCTAATGAAGTTATTAAGACTTAGACCTGTAATTTTGAACCCTACAATCCTTGTTTAGATACAGCAGGAGATGGGACGACTACCCTCAACCTGTTCAGTGACACCATCGACCAGGGCATTAGTGTGGAAACAGGGGAACACATTGATGAGACAGGCACGCCCACTCTGATTATCCTGGATGAGGGTCAGTCTCTAGTCACCCAAGCTGTCACGGATAAGGCTACATGCACCCCCACCACAGAAGCAGGTAAGTTAGAAACTGACTGGTAACACTGATTTGTGTTACCAGCATTAGAAATTGATTATGCTCCAATTTTGTCACTAATGCGCAAAAATATTTTGGTGCAGAGGTACATGTTCCTTATGGAAATTGTCTTGTCCTACATATAATGTCACTAGTTAATCTAGCATTTTACGAGTCTTAAGGAATGTTTTGTATATTTCGTACTCTGGTTATAATGATTTAGTGTTAAGAAATCCTTACTTTCAAGAAGGGTGTCCTTAAAGCTTAGATGAAACCAAAAATATAAACATCATTAAAATAGAATTATCATTTATTCATGACATATGATATACATTGCTGATTATGAAAAAACAAATAAACAAAATTATAAGCGTACAATCGCAAATTATAAGTGCAATATTTTGTACCTGGGTTTACTACCCTCGAAACGAAGCACCCAGGATACCGAACCCAGTCAGAGCGGGTGGGCATGCACTTAAGGGTAACGAAGACTTTGATTGGCCGGTTCCTTTAGCCGATATGCTCAGGGATCTTTGTGTGTGTTTAGAGATGAAGGGTTTTGTAAATACAGAACCTGTCTCTCTGTGTAATTACATAATGTAACAGACAGAACTCAAGAACCTGAGCCATAAATCAATGCATTTTGTTTATGGTGTATAGCCTGATAGGTGTTAAGTTTAAATTGCATGTGGTCAGTGATTGAAGTTGTGTACTGCATATTGTCATTAGCAGACAGGCAGGCAGACACATAGGTGTTCGTAAAACATACATTGAGTTTTGTCAGTGACAGAGGCACATCTATGTCACAGTTAGAAATTCTGACAATGCTATAATGACGTTGATGTTAAGTATCGAACTGAGAAAGTGACTCTGTAAGAAGAACGTGTGGTGAAATAGTCAGATGAAACTATATAAACAGTTAAATCGGTAATCTGCTGTCATTACATATAAAAAGCTCGCGCATGTGAAATATCAACAAAACATTAGAAAAATAGTTCACACCCAAACCTACTCCCAGTACTCGCCACCAGCGAAGGTTTTCTGTCTTGAAACGTCGAACGCCTCACAGGTTGACACAGCTGAGTAGATCTAGATCCTTAACAAGGTTCTTTTTTGTAACGAGTAAATTATTTACTATTTGTTGTTTGTGTATACAACCAAAAATTAGACAACTCCTGGTCACGACCTTATAATCCAGACATCCCGCTCAAGCTGCGCAAACCTATTAAATGCGCATGCGTTATGAGCACAGTGCAGCACAGCTGTTGAAACCACTTTTCACCCCAGCTGGGGTGAATTTTGTGTATCATTTTCAGAGGATTTTTTTCATAGCGTTATTTTTCAAGTTGAATTTACATTTATGATAATTTGTTACTGTAAGTCCATACCGAAGGTATCAGAATCTGAAAGTTGTGTTTGGCGTTGCACGTAAGCTTTAACAGATATTTGAATAAGAATTAAATCATTTACAAATATTAGTATACAAAGGTTAGTAATTCATTTTTGTACTTTGCTAACTGTTTAAAGTTCATCATGCTTCTGTTACAGCAGGTATTGTGACAGCGCAGTACACCACTGACTGTACATGTCGTCAACCAGTCACTCAGACGGATGTCAAAGGTACAACCAACATTTCACATCAGTCACCCTTCAGGGGGCGTAGCTACCATTATAAAAAAAAAAGCCCGGGCTTACACATGATTTTTGCCATGAAAGTTAGACAAGCTGTCAATACTATCCAAATATAAAGCTTTTCAACCTATCAGGCTTACACAAAAAACATGGCTTGCTACGCATCTGCCTTTTAATGATCGGAGCCTGTTTGGTCAACCGATCTGGAATTATTTATCAAACTAGGAAAACCTTTTGAAATAGTCATAAAATTTGTCAGACGTATGGGTGAGGATTTTGACACTAGCTTGACTTCATTGAATGCCAGAATGTCAGAGAGCATTTAACCAGTGCAAATGGTTATGATAGTGTTGCAAGAAATGCAACATTGAAAAAATGACTGACACACATAAGAAAGCCCAAAATAATTTGATGGAAAAGATGTTACGTGTAATATGGGACGGTCATTGCTTTCAGTATAGCTTGGGGGCGCGAGTCTTGGTGAAGGTACTTCTGGGAGATATCGGTGGTAGTAGCAAATAATAGGCCTAGGGCCTTTCATATAATAAACTTTTGATTGATTTGAAATAACACCTCCGACCTACCCCAACTCTGTAATAAATGACCTGTGACTGTCCCTAAGTAGTTCAGAAACCCATTCATCATAGTTTTCCTATTACAATATCTAGTTCATCCTGTGTATTTTAGCCACATTGAAGTTCTATTGGTTATTGCTGTGTTGCGTATTACAAATACTTGTTGTCTTCCAGTTAAAAGAAAAGGTCGACCAAAGAAGGGAGAGGAGAAGAACAAGGTTATTGATGCTGTGAGCAAAGAAGTAGGGAAACCACCTCTCCCCGAGAAATGTGAGTTGTCATAGTTTGCATCATCATATCTCAGTGATTCTTTTCTTGGTTTGTGAACACATACCGTAACCAGTGCACTTGTGTTTTACTTAAGTTGTAAATGTGTGAGATCTTCATCACTTCAGGCTTTTGTCGCAAATGAACATGACATGCTATGGGATACTGTTCAAAGATGCATGTACGAGAACAAGAACAACAATCATTACAGTTTCCATTTGATTTATTCTTGGATAGTTATGTGGGAAGAGATTCTGTCCCATTTTATTGGGTTAAACAAGGAATTTTCTTCTTGTTTATTCCATTATTTGGAAAGAATAGGTGACACCCAATAACAGACTACTGCTTTTTTTATTGGCTGATAATAGAATCTGTGTTGCATTATTGACTGAATGATGTCACATGTGTATATTGTTATCTACATTTTATTGTGTGTTAAGGCATCTGTTGAGGCAAGTTATTATTGCTGACTTTTTAAGGTATTTACTTCCCACTTTCTTAGTATGCACATCAATTTTCCTATTTAACCTCCTTAAAAACGAGACTGCCTCCGTGGTGTAGTGGTTAGAGCGTCTGCCCGGAGAGCGGAAAGTCGCGGGTTTGATGCCCGACCGCATCATACCAAAAGAAGTTAAAATATGGTACTTGTTGGTCCCTGCCTGGCGTTCGGCATTATTGGGTACAACAAGGACTGGTCGGCTTGGAGTCAGTATAATGTGTCTGAGTGGGGTATTCTTGCTTCACTGCGGCATGGTATCTCAGTAGGCTAGCACTATAAAACCAGCTTAAGTCTGGGCTAGTACAAGCAGCCGCACATACACATACACTCACACGCACGTCGTCATATGAGCGAAATATTCTCAAGCACGACGTTAAACCCAATTTCACCTCACCTCACCTTAAATACGAAAACTATTAAAGTCAGTTCTGAAAGATGTTCAGATGTTGTAATATTATAGTTGAGTTTCAGACCGTCGATAAACCTTCAGTTTGTGTTTCAGCCAAAGATGGCAAGTTTCACTGTGAGCGCTGCAAGAGGGCTTTCACCAAGGAGCGTTTCTTCAACACCCACAAGTGTCTGGCGTCATCTGACTATGTTATCATCACCAGTAAAGATGTCAAGCTAGATTCAGGTACTGTCCTGGATCTTACATGTCCAAAGATCATATTGGTCTTCTAAGTCTTTCCTCCCAAAATTCTGTTGTATACAACTCTGTGGTGTATTCTGACTGAGTTGTGTGTCTGCAGGTGACGAATCTGATGAGCTGGAGGATGTAGGAGCAGAGGAAGTGGAGGATACAGAGGAGTACTCGGCTCCCAGTGACCTCATCATTGCAGGTGTGTAGACACAGTAGAGACATAGTTTGAAGAATGGTAGTCTGGAACACAAACTATCCAGTGATTTATCTATGATTCTAATCTACTGGCAAACAAGGATAAGTTGAGCACCGACCTGACAATTGACCTGTATTAGCATGTATGAGTGCTGCCCACTGGCGCTTGCCATTGTGAGCGAAGAGGCCCCAGGTTGTCCGCGATCAAGTGTAGTGTAACTTGCTACACCGACCATGTGAGCAAGGCGTGTCCAGCTACGCTCGGAATCAATTTCATCGTCATGCACTGCATGTGCACTAGCCTACATCTGCTCTACCTTTCACAAACCAAATGGGTTTGCTCATTGCCGTGCACTGCCTAATTCTTGTAAACGGGTTCTCTGCGCCGGTCCAACTTATCCTTGTGTGCAAGTAAGATTTAAAATTTCAAAATTGTGACTATTTTGTTTGGTATTGTTCTGTTTCTTGTGAATCAGGCATATTTATCCCTGTCATATTGCATTTTGTGGCATGAATAGTTTTGTGGTGACTGTACGAACCTGGAATACAGATTGGGAAAACTAGGTTTAACAGCGAGTAAGACTGTTCATTGTAATTATTGGAGCAAGGACCCATGAAGAACTAGGTTAGAATTTGGTCTTCAGGAACCCATGCTTGTCATAAGGGGTGATGACATCGGGGTGGTCAGGCTCGCTGACTTGACATGTCATCGTATCCCAATTACATATGTAGATTCTTATGATGTTAATCTCCGAATTGTTCTGGTCCAAGCTTGATTATTTACAGACCACCCTCATGTGTAAACAACAAACAAACAAGTGGTAGAAATTAACTGGATGTCTACCAGCTTCACTACTGATAACAATTTACATGGTTGAGTACTCAAGATTTCAGTATTTGTTAGCGGCATACATGTGTAAATCAAATCGAAACTTTTCTATATATACATCTTCCTGAAGAATGTATGAATGTAAATTGTATTGATATCTTCTATTGTCATAATGACCCCACTTATAGTTTATTCATTTTGCTGTTTCAAACATTTTCAAAGTGTTGTCTATGGTCCTAGATGAGCAACGGGCCAAGAAGTTTGACAATGTTCTAGTCAGTGCCGACCCAGACGGCGATGCATACAACTACAGCACGGAGAAACCCACGGACGAGATAGACGATATCCCAGTTTTTCGCACCCTTGAGGAGAAAGTAGCGTTCGAGACAAACCTAAACGTGGACCTCAGCAGTGTGGATCAGATGTTCAAGATTCACATGATTGAACAAGACCTGAATGAGAATGCAAGTTCAGTGCGGAACATGTCGACATCGCTGTCGCTGTACAGCTGTAACATCTGTGACAAGGTGTTCAAGACGTTGTCTCACATGAGACTTCACTGTCTCATCCACACAGAACTCAAACCCTTCAAATGCTTCAAGTGCTCATATGCTTCAAACTCAAAAGGTGTGTGCAGACATAATAGGAGTCGTATTAGTACTCTCCTTCCTATGATATGATAGGTCTTCAGCAAACCATCCTTGTTGTAAGAGGCGACTAATAGGCAATTGTATATATCGATGCTCATGCTGTTGATCACTGGATTGTCTGGTCCAGACACGAATGTTTACAGACCATGGCAAATATCCCAACTGTTTTTGTTCAATATATTAAAATGAAGAAATTTGATATTATCAAAAGGATATGAGAAAGTCACGAGTCTCATGTGTTTTCCTTCTTCATAATATAGCATTAGTTATTTTTTGTGGTTTAATGGAAGTGAAAGGTTTGTGAGCAAATTACTGATTACATTGCAAGTACCGGTGTGCCTTTTCATTTCCTTCGTTTCAGCTATATTTTGGTAATATGCACATATTAGCAATTATTTGCGAATAGACAACCATATATGGGTTTTAGAAATATTCCTGAATAATGTAAAAGTTACCATTAGCCAGAAAACCAATGTCCTGAGGCTCTTGAGAAGCTTTGACTTGTACAATGATTAAAGCCTTTTTTTGGAATATTGATAATGGCAGCTTTGGTACAGCTCACTCACTCACTGATTCCTTAATGCAGGTAATCTTTACACACACATGCGGAAGCACACGGGTCAGTTCTATAACTGCAGTAAGTGTTCGTTCCGGACAGTCAACAAGAGTCACCTGCTGGAACATGAAGCCACACACAGCAATGTGCGGAAGCAGTGTCAGATGTGCAAGAAGGACTACAACACACTCAAGTCACTCATCAACCATGTCAGGAAGTACCACAAGTAAGTCGTATGACACAAATACCTCACGTTTGACAGTGGGGTCATGGATGATAGGCATCGCAATTCACTGTGAAGTGGTATATCCCACAGGTATGCCAGAAGTATATGCTCCTGGCTTCGAATCCTGTTCAGCCCAAGTTATGATTTCGGTTTGTCAGCTCCATACTTGTGGGTTTCAAGGTCACCTCGACACTTTGACCACTTTTCAAACTCTTGTTAACGCGATATCTAATGAACTGTTGCACCTGCACCCAATGTCTTCATATTTGGTGACAGCCTACATTGGGGGATTATGCAGAAACAAGTTGCAGGGATTTACCTCGAGTCCTGTATTTGTGGGTCCCTGGGACTCATTCATAATTTTCAGTCATCCTGGACTACAAAATGGGGGTCCCAGACACTTAAATATTATTATTAATACTGTTATTGTATTGTGTATCATGATCATCACATTGTTACAGTAATTAAACTGCAAATGATACCACAACCCAGCTATTTGCAAACTCAGTGATAACTTAATGTTATTTGATTGGAATTTTTACAAAAAGTATTTGGACTTTTTTTGTGTCCCTGTGGATGCGTTAATATATTTCGTTGCGTCCACTGTCAATTTTTATGCGTATAGGATGCAGGAATTCGCGTCCTGTAAATCCCTGAGTTGATTTGGGTGATCTTGACCTTATCTTCAAGGTCACCACGACACTTTGACCACCTTTCAAACCCTTGTTAATCTCATGCACTGTTGTACCCAATGTCTCCAAATTAGTTGACAACCTATATTGGGGGATTACGCAGACACCAGTTGATTTGGGTGACCTTGACCTTATCTTCAAGGTCACCACGACACTTTGACCACTTTTCAAACTTATGTAAACGCGATATCTCATAAAACATTGCACCCAATGTCTTCAATTATGTCGACAGCCTACATTAGGTGATTATGCAGACACCATTCATTTCAGGCATCTTATATGTGACCCAAAAATAAAAAGTAGTAAATATGTTCAATACTTCATTCTTCTTTGGCTTCTTGTTTAGCGGCGGGGGACATTGCCATATTAGTGGCAAACACTTGTTTTGGGATATTTTCAACCTAAGAAGGTAATTTACCATGGTTATTCAGTATTGACATTTTCTTGCATACTATTCTGGCTGTACAATGAAGTACACTGGCAATAGTCCATTCCCTACATAGCGGATTTACTGAGTGTGTGCACAATGTTTACAACGTTCTTAGGAAACTGTTAAACTCCATTGTTACAACGGCAGCGAAGTGGTTTTATGGAAATACATTTTCTTGCAGGTTTTCAGCCAAAGGGAGGGAGTATCTGCAGACATTCCTCCAAGGGAGACAAGCCAGGGGTGCAACAGTCATCCACCAGTGCCATGTGTGTAACAGAAAGTTCAAGAAGAAGATCGACAGAGATCGCCATCTTTTTATTCATGACATCAAGGACATCCCAAACATACAGCATTGCCAGTTGTGTGATTACACTGCCAGCAGACGGACATACCTGGAGAAGCATTACCTCAAGCATCGAGTCATCTACTGTTGTTCGTTGAGTGACGAGAAGTTCCTCAGTACTGTCCGCCTCATTGACCACTTGACCAGTGTCCATTTGAAGGACGATCCCAACCAGTGGGAGAACTTGTTCGAGCAGAGCATTAATAATAGTTTGTATTTGCCTGAGCCTGATGAATCATTTGATGCAACTGAAAAAGAATTTATTAATCTTCCTGAGGAATTGTCCAGCACAAGTTTGAAGAAAGCATGTGTTGAAACTCTAGAAAATGAATCCGAGCAGAAAGAGGGGGGATAAGACGTCAAACCCTGAAACAGTTCTTAATACAGAAGGGTCTCTGATCTGTGAGAACAACCAGCTTGGTAAGGATGAAATTATGGATACTGTGAACAAGGAGTGTGTCCAGTCGGAGCAAGTGCTGGACTCCGACCCGGTGAAGGACAGTGTTAAGGGAGATGGTCATCAGTTGGATACTGCTGCAAATGAGGACCCAGAACCCATGGATACTGGACTACCTATTCCAGGTCTGGGTGAGGATGTAGAGATGGATGGGCAGAAGAAGGAAGGTAGGGTCAGGCAAGGCCAGTAGTGCTTGTCTCGTAATTTGTAAGGCGGTGGTGAGGTAGCCTAATGGTTAAAGCATCTGGTCGTCTCACTGAAGAGATGCCTGCCATAGACCAGAGTTTTATTCCCCACATAGGTACATAGCCCATTTCTGCTGTCCCCGGTCGTGATATTGCTGGAACATTGCTAAAAGTAGCTTATATCAATACTAACTCACTTGTAACTTGTAAAAAACCTACCACAGGATGAAATATATTTCCGTGTCCATTCTATGCATTTATTAACTGTTTGGACATTTCTGCTTTGTATAAAAGCTTGATATTTTAACATAATATGTAGTGCAGTAAAAAATTAGACTAAACAGTGTTTTCTTAATTCAGTAATGAAACAGTAATGAAATATGTATGGGGATTAAAATGCTTGATCTGGTAAGTGGTAACCCTAAATATATTCATCATAAAAAGTTGAGGTTGTATTTGAACCTGCTATCATTGAGTATTTGTTTTAGATTTAATGAAAATTACGAGTTCATTTATAGTAATGTGCTCATCATTGATGTGCATTGCTTAATACGTTTGACCTCATTAGGACATGTGTGATCCTCATTTAGTTTCATGCATAATTGGGTTGGCAGAGAATACTACCAACCGGATTTCACACAAGAGGATTGGTGGTTGTCCCAAACTGCTCTAGTCAATAGTAAGCACAGGGCTTGACATTCACCCAAATTCCCAAACAAGACCACAGGACCAGTAACTTTTAAAAATCACTGGTCCTTACAGATTGTTACTGGTGCTTCTAAGGGACTCTTAATGTCAAATTCATATTTGCACTTGCTTTGTAGAATTCTTGAAATCTTGAAAATGACACAGAACTAAAACTCCCTCCTCATAAGACTTTATTCAATCCGAATCAGAATTTTCAGAAAACAGTTTTGAATATTTTACTGATTTCAAAAATTTAAAACCCTAGTCAAAAGCTCAAAACCTGTACAATTATATCGACAGCCTTAAATATCTACTAGACCGTCGAGGTATCACTTATCAAAGTGGGTACTGGTCCTGTCAACATTTTACTGGACCCGGGCCAGTGGGATAGCATGAAATTGAATGTCAAGCCCAGAAGCATGGAAACAGGTTATTTCTGTAGGAATTGCCTTGACAAGATGTTCATCTCTTTTTTCAGCTGACAAAGCCACTGAAACAGAAACTAAGGAAAGTAACGAGTCTTTGACAGGAGGGTTAACAGCAGAGAATGAACTGGACAAAAATAAACAAAGTGACAACCTTGAAGAAGTGAACGAAACTGTCAAGAATGCTGGAAAGTCTGGGGATGAACAAGACGAGGCCATGGATGTGCAAGAAGAATCTGAAACTATAGATGAGACAGATGAGACTATGGACGAAAATGACACGAGTGAGTTGAACGAGCCCCAGGACGACAAGGACAAAACCATAGTGAGCATCGTGAAGAGACTCGGCTACAGAGAAATGTCTATGGAGATATTCCACAAGATGAGGGAAACATTCGGCTGTGAGGAATGTGAATACTGTGGCAGATTGTTCTACAATAAAGCAGATTATGAACCACATCTACGCACACATACAGGTTAGATTTATGGATTATGCTCACTTAAGTCTTTTTATTTATGAATGTAGAATACAGAGGCCCAGATAAACTGCGTATCCGGGTAAAATACTCATAGAAAATTTCCAATTACACATCGAAAAAATAATTGTTGCGTACCATTTACGCATTTAAAATGTTAGATACGCAAAAAGTTTAAAACAAATGCGTACAGAGTATATTTATAAAAATCGTTTGCGTAATGAAAAAGACATCGATTGCTATCAAGTTGTACTGTTAGTATAGGACAAGTGTTGTACTGTCAGTATAGGATGAGTGATTTTTTATGAAATCATTTCCATTATATATAAGTTGGTTTTGATTAGGTATGACATGAGGCAGAACATACCTGCTTAGTAAACTTACTCAATGACGTAATACTTAGGTGAGTGAAATGACTGAAATAAGCACATATTTGAAAGCAGTGGGTAACAGAAAATGAAATACCCACTCAACATTCATAATACCCACTCCAAAGAAATACAGTGGGTACAGTACCCACTTGACCTAATTCTTATCTGGAGCTCTGAGAATATGACTTTAGCCACTATATAGATTATCTACACTTGCTCAGAGGCCAGTATTCAGCCCACGACTGGTGCAAGTGTCAGTAAAAAATCTCCACATATGAATAAATGAAATAACACAATTCATGCCAATGTAGGTATGAAACTGATATTATTACCCACGTGGTCAACGTATGGGTAGTTGCATACTAATCTCGTACGTCACACGAGTGTCGTATCGCGTTGACCTGTGTCGTAACGACTTGACCTGAGATTATAACGATTTGATTGGATAACCGATGACCTCTCAATTAGGTCACATTCTGACGTAACTATTTTTTCATTCTTAACAAACACGTGAATTCATTCATTCTACAACTTAAATGCATTGTGGGAATGTAAACATTGCGAACGTTGTCGTGTCGCTGTTTAATTGTGAGTCGAACTGAGACATTATATCCGCTCGAAAAACATAAACGTAATGTTTCCACCAGTGATGTTAAATAACGAAGCAACTGCAAACCAAGAAACGGGTGCTACGGAGTAGTTTACTGTAGAAGGCTGTACGAGGCGATGACAACTGACATGCATCGTGGATCGCCGGTTACTGAAGGCAGTGACGCCATTACAGTGTGACGCCATGCAAATATTGTACTACAGTACAAAACTCTTCCAAGAACCTCTTTATGAAACCGGTTTCGGGTTTGAAACCAAAAATAACAAAAATACGCTATTTTGTCAATTTAATACATGTAAGACGGGTAATAAAGCCTGTAATAATATTCGGTTCATTACATACGAATTATAATGAAACTGTGGATCTTCCTATGATATCTCGACCTCGCCGCCGGTCAGATACCATAGGAAGGACACTCGTTTCGTACAATTCGTATGTAATGAGACCTCGTGTAGTATTCTCTATTTATGTTTTGCTACAAGGGGAAGAGATATTTTTCTTATTGATCTGGGACCAATACCATGATAAAGAGAGAAATGTTTTGAAGCTTAGTTTTTCAATATTTCATTGAATCTTAAAATATTAAAAAGTTTTGAATTCAATAAAATAAGAATTAACTGGAACAAAATAACGACTTTGAACAACTTGATTTGTAAGGCCACACAGTCTGGGTATTGTCATTTCCCAATCTCTGGATTGTTTTGACAAGACTCGTGTGTTTTTCAAAATGACCACACCTTTTGTTCAGCAGCTGATGCAGCTGAAATTTAAACTGTTTGCTACAAATCCAGGTGAGCTACAATGCAGATGCAAGATTCCATGACAACCAATTTGTTTTCCAGGTGACAAACCTTTCAACTGTGAACACTGTAACTACCGGGCCATTTCCAAGGACAGCTTGAAGCGGCATATAGAGAAGGAGCATCTAAAGATGACTTTTCCATGCAAGGAGTGTGACTACGCCGCTCCGTCCCGCACGCAGCTCTGGAACCATCAGCTGAAACATCTTGGGGTCACAGGGGTCGAGTGCAATGTCTGTCAGCAAAAGTTTGATACGTACGTCTTCAGATTGATTGTTGAATTGTATAATTCTTGGCGGTTTTCAGTCTTTACAGAATAGTTAGAAACCTGAGATATTTTAAGTGTTTAGATTGGGATTTGATCATATAAAGTGTTTTCTTACAATCCCTATAATGATATTCTTTGTATATTGTTAAAGCAGAGAGGGGCGGTGGGGTAGCCTAATGGTTAAAGCGTTGGCTCGTCACGCCGAAGACCCGGGTTCGAATTCCCACATGGGTACAATGTGTGAAGCCCATTTCTGGTGTCCCCCACCGTGATGTTGCTGGAATATTGCTAAAAGCGGCATAAAACCAAACTCAGTCAGTGTCAAAACAGAGGAGGAAAAACCCTCACTTATTTAAGATTACAAAAACTGACTGGTTTATACAGCTAAAGGTTTCTCAATGGCAGTTTAGACAAGGCTTTATAATATTTTTGTGAAGCATAATTTCATGATTTGCTGTAATTATTGATAAACTTGACTCACTCCTGTGAACAGAATCAAGAAGCTGCGGAACCACATGATCCTAGATCATCCGGAGACAGACCGGAACTATCTGGATGCCCTGTCGGGGGTCAAACACAGGATGCAAGGCAAGATGGGTATGTCCGTGTCATTATTCAACCGTTTCCCTTAAGATGAGTGTCCGACTGTGTTGATTGTGTGTTAGTAATCCGGTAAGGCTGGTTGTTGCTCATGCTATCAACCACCGGCTCACTTGCTTGCGCGCTTCGCGCTCACTCACTCACTCATTCAGGGTGGTGGGGTAGCCTAGTGGTTGACCATCACTAAGACCCAGGTTCAATTCCCTATATGGGTACAATGTGTGGAGCCCATTTCTAGTGACACCGACCCCCCCCCCCCCCCCTCCAACATATTGCTGGAAATTGCTAAAAAGCGGCGTAAAACCTCGTTCACTCACTCACTCACTCACATGTTGTTGGGTAAAGAATTGAATGTGTTTGGTTTTGCTTCAATTCAATTATGTCATGTACATGATATGTGACTAAGGGGTGAAAAGATTTCATGTGGTGTGTAGACAAATAACTGTTTTGTCAATGGACATATTTTTTTTCATAGAGATCGTCCTTGGGGTACATATATGCATTTTCTGCGGCTGAAAATGTCATGTGACAGATGTATCAATGTTTTAATAAAAATATTGTACAATAAATAAAAATTGCGTTTACGAGTTGTGCATGGGCTTCTCCCCCCGGGCCCAGAAGAGACGGGCGGCTCACTTCCTTTTTTATAAGGAATTGTGTGAGGCGGGAGGGGACCTGACCCAGGAGGTTCCCCTGTCCAAGGCCAAAAAGGCTAAGCAAACTAAATCTAAGTCTTCACATAGGTCACACTCTTCTTCTCCGTCCAGTGGTTTTGATATGTCACTTATCACTCAATTGTTTCAGCAGCATATGGACTCTGTGAAGTCCCTCGTTCACGAGTCGTTTGGAGGTCTCCAGCAGGAGTTCCTCGCCCACTCTGATCGGGGGACCGAGAGTCCGGGGGTGGGATCGCCAGGATCGGCTCGATCCTTTGGCCTGGAGGCGTTTGTCGATCCTTTGCCTTGGGCTTCGGGTCTGGATGCCTCGGCTGCCCCGGAGAGGGGGAGGGTTCGCTCCCAGTCCCTCTCTCGGTGTTGGCGCAGGGTCCGTTAAGGATTCCTGGGGTTCCGGTCCCTGCGCCACCCCGCCCCATGAGAGCGGAGGAGCCGGTTCTGTCCGGCCTTCCTCCCGTGTCTTGGAGCTGAGAGTTCCTTTGGGTCTTCCCTTCCCACGGCGTCTGTGGCTCGGCCTCCCACAGGGTCGGGGTTCAGCTACTCTTCATGTGGAGATCCGAATTCTGACTCGGGCTCGGGTGCCGAGTCTATGGAGGTTGGGGAGGTCGAGGAGTGGGAGGGTACTTTCCGTTTTTCGTCGGCTCATCAGGAGGTTAGGCAACATATTGCCGAGTATATTCCCCAAGCCGCGGTGCCAACATGTTGCTCGGACTCGACTGAGTTCCGCGTGCCGGGTGAGGCGTTTGCCCCTAGGCAACCCTCTTAGACACAGCTCCGTATCTTGCCTTCCCTGTTACAGGACGTGATGGATCCCCTCCTGATTGGTTCTCTCGCCTCCGGTTCAATCTACCCGAAATTGTTAAGAGATATCAGCTGGGGGATGCTTCTCTGTTCTTTGTGCCGGTGGTTGACGAGTAAGTGTTTACTTCGGTCGCCCTCGGGGGAGGCTCGGCTTCCTCAGGTGCAGCCCCGGCTGCCAAGCAAGGGCGGTTACTACCACCATTTGCCCTAGCGGGCGCCCCCCTACAGCACGCATACCACTTCTAGACAGGAAGTGTACCAGAATGCCATGCATCAGGTGCGGGTCGTGGTCGTACCTTTCCTCGTTACGAAGGTCGGCTCTGGAGGCGGAAGGGAGCACTGGTGACGATTCCCCGAATGTTGTTCTGCTCCGCCAACTATCCGAAGTACAGGCCCTCCTGATGCGAGACTCTTTACGGTCTGCCGCGTCTACGGTGATGTGCGCAGTCATGGGGATATGCAAGCTGTGGCTGTCTACATCCCGTTATTCGGCAGCAACACAGCAGACCTTGCTGGCCCTTCTGTTTCGGTTTGGAGCGACGTTGTTTCCGCGGGGGCACAGCAGATCATTCAGGAGGCTGCTGCAGCAGCTACCTCCTTCAAGGACTCTAAGGCCTTGTTGGAGCAACTGCGGGCTTCTCGCTCCCGCACTCCCGTAGCGGGTTCTTCCTCTGGGGTGCAGCCTACCCCCCAAGTCTGCCGGCTGGCTTCGGCCGCTGGGTAGAGGTAGGAGGACCGTCCCGCCAAAGGTAAGGACAAGGAGCAGGCCTCTTCGTCTGGCTCCCAGCAGCCTTTTCGCGGTCGCGGCGGGTCTGCCCAGACCTCCCGTTAAACCTGCAGGCTGTCAGGTTCCGTCCCATTCTCAACCTCAAGGGGTTTAATCGCATGTTAGAGGTTCCATCCTTCAAGATGGAGACACTTCGCTCGGTGATCTCCTCTGTTCAGCCCGGCGATTGGCTTACGTCGATTGACCTAAAGGATGTGTATCTACATGTGCCAATTCATCCATCGTTCAAGCAGTACCTCCGGTTTTCTTTCGACGGGACGTGTTACCAATTCACAGAGTGTTCACCAAGCTCATGTGAGTGCCGGCTACCCTCGCAAGGTCGCAAGGAAGGCGTTATTACCCTTACCTAGACGACTGGTTGTTCAGCGCTCTAACTTAGCCAGCGAGCCTAGATTCTACCCACACGGTGATAGACATTCTAGTTTGACTGGGGTGGATCATAAACCTCAAGAAATCCGACCTGGTACCCACCCAGGACTTGTTTTTTCTTGGGGCACGGTTCACATTCAACAGGGTCTTGTCTCTTTGTCGCCCGACCGGGTCACCAGAGTACGGGAGATGGTGTCTTCGTTCCTCTCCCAGCCCCAGGCACCAGCGCAGACTTGGCTCCGTCTACTGGGTCATATGGCGGCAGCTATCTCTGTCGTGTGGCGGGCGCGGTTGAGGATGTGCCCTGTACAGCAAGCTCTGGCGAGTCTGTGGGCTCACTCGGAGGATCTGGAGAAGTGTCTGACAGTCCCCAGGTGGTTGTCTCCTCACCTTCAGTGGTGGACCAATGTCGGGAATTTCTCTAAGGGGGTCCTTTTGGAAATCCAGACGCCAGTTCTTACAGTTCAAACCGATGCGTCCCTCACGGGCTGTGTGTGCGTGCGTCTGTCGGTGTTTGGACTCTGGTCCGAAGCCGAAGCCCGCCTTCACATCAATGTCTTAGAACTGAGAGCTGTGCGGTTGGTTTTCGAGCACTTCAGGAAGCATGTTCAGGGCCAGGTGCTTCGTCTTCAGTTGGACAACCGCACAGCCATGACGTACATCCTGAGGCAAGGCGGCACGGTGTCCCTAGCGCTCCTTCGGGAGACGTGGGAATTTCTCCTCTGGTGCGACCAGTGCAACTATCAGATGATTCATGTTTATCGCCCAGGGCTGGAGAATGTGCGAGCAGACTCTCTCTCGCCGGATCCTGGCCCAACACGAGTGGATGCTCAACCGGCAGATATTCCCAGTTGTACGGAGCGTTCCAGGTGGATCTGTTTGCGTCCAGCGGGACGAATCAGATACCCGTGTTCATCTCTCGAATACCGGACCAGAGGGCGTTGGCTTCCGACGCCTTCCTGCTAGTTTGGACGGGCAAGGTGCTGTGGGCGTTTCCACCTCTACCACTCATTTCCCGGGTCCTCTCCCAGCTGTCCACCCAACCAGCTTGACTACTTGTGCTACTGGCACCGCTATTGCTGTCACAGAGCTGGTTTCTGGTAATTCTCAGGTTTCTGGCTCAGCCTCCTGTTCTATTACCTTTGCGACCTGACATTCTCATTCAGAACGGCGCGCCATACCCCAGTCCAAGGATTCAGTGGGTGGCTTGGCCTCTGTCGGGTCTAGCCTCGAAGCACGCGGAATTCCTGCAGCAGTTGCAGACACAATTCTGGCTTCGAGGTGGGATTCGACAAACGTTCAATATGAGGATAGGTGGTCCCGCTATGCGCGCTGGTGTTCAGATAGGGGGGATTGCAGATCCCTTTTCTGTGGATTTAGTCCGAGTATTGGAGTTTCTGCAAGCTCGTTTGGAAGAAGGCTTGGCGGCTTCGACCATTCATGGCTACTCCACCGCTATTTCCACTTTCCACACCCCTGTTGATGGTGCTGTTCTGGGGCAGCACCCTCTTATGCAGCGCTTCTTAGCTGGCATGGATTGGGTTCGACCTGCTGTGAGGCGAACCAGCCCACCTTGGGATTTGTCAATCGTGCTAGATTGGCTGTCCGGTCCTACGTTTTCGCGTCTATTGGCTATTTCCATTCAGCTGTTAACATGGAAGGCTGTATTTCTGGTGGCGGTAACATCTGGGCGAAGGGTTGGCGACTTACATGCTATGTCAGCAGACCCGGCGCTGACTGTGTTCCATCCAGATCGTGTCAGTATTCTCCTCCCGGATACTTACCGTCTGAAGATCATTCACGCTTTCCATGTGACAGCTCCTATCGAACTTCCTACTCTTACCCAGCCTTCCACATCGAAGACCTCTGCAACGAGCACTCACTCGTTGGATGTCCATAAGACTCTCAAGGTCTATATCAAACGAACACAAGGGCGGGAAGGCTGGCATGCCGGCTAGCAAAAAGACCCTATCACGCTGGCTTGTATCGGTCATTTGTGCTACTTATCAGGCTAAGGGCAAGCCTCCCCCTGAGGGGTTGAAGGCTCACTCGGTCAGGGCAGTGGCCACTTCAAAGGCTTTAGCATCGGCACTGCCCCTTGAAGAGATATGCTCTGCCGCTATTTGGAGCAGGCCTAGCACTTTTATCAGGCACTATCAGCTCGATACACATTCTCGTGATCGTGCGCGTTTTCGCCGTTCTGTTTCCTCCAGTGGACAGTGTCCTTCCACCCTGACCGAGTGAATCTTGGTTATCTGGACAGTTGACGCTGCTTTCAGTTGTGTAAAATTGATACATCCGCTGTTATCATATCTAACTACTTTCGATTTCTCTCATGAGATTATAGTCGGTTGTGAGTTGGTTTTCCCCCTTACGGTGCACTTTAATAGATTCATGATGTGGGCGGGTTTTTTTTCTTTCGCACTGCTTTGCTTCTGTGAGGTCAGGTCTCAGTACTTTCCTCCCTGTCGGTTACCCTCCCATCATGCCTCTCGCGGAAGCTTCGGGACACGTGACAGGTGAGTGTTGTGGCGTCTGTTACTTTCTTCTAACGATCGCTATTTATGTATACTTTGACAGAATTTCCTCCTCCCTAGCCTCCGGTCTTTGGGAGTCTGAGTTAATGCATATATGTACCCCAAGGACGATCTCTATGAAAAAGAATTAGCTATACCTGTAGAGGTTTCCAATTCTTTGAAGAGAATCGTCCTTGGGGTAGGGCCACCCACCTCCCCGCAATTCCGTTCACTGATTTATTCAGCAAAAGGACTGATGATACGGGCCTAGGTGCTTACCTGGTTGGCTGCGCATGCGTAGCAGGGAGGTAACTCCACGTGGTGGGGGCCGTATAATGAATAAAACATTTTTTATTTATTGTACAATATTTTTATTAAAACATTGATACAACTGTCAAATGACATTTTCAGCCGCAGAAAATGCATATATGTACCCCAAGGACGATTCTCTTTAAAGAGTTGGAAACCTCTACAGGTTTAGGTAAGTTTTAATCAGAGGTGAAAGACAAGTTTGAAAATGTACCATTTTAATCCCCTTAGAAAGACAAGGGTAAAAATTTAGTGTTTTGATCCACTTAGAAAAAGAGTCAAAATGTATTGCTACAGACCTACCATTAAGTTATGTTTATGTTTTGTGTTACCAGGCCGCAGGTCCTACAAGTGTCCGTACTGTGACCGAGTGTTCATCCGCGCCAACTCTGAGCTACAGAAGCACATCTGGGTCCATGAAGGCATCAAGCCCTACAAGTGCCCCATCTGCCCCCATGCATGTCGCAGCAAGACCAACCTGCAGGCGCACATGCTGCGCCACTCCAGCGAGAAGCCCTTCCAGTGTGGCGACTGCGGCAAGGCCTACAAGTCCAAGACGGCACTACGCTGGCATGTGCGCTCGCACAAGGAGGGCAAGTTCAAATGTGACAAGTAAGTGAATGGTTTGTCTGTACGAGAATCAGACAGCTCCATAGACATGCATCCCTTTCTGTGGACTTTCTCCCACCTCAAACTGATACTGTATGGTGGCAGTCATTCTCTTCCCACAGAGGTTACTTGTCATATCTTCCTACGAACCTCTGTTCTAATACGGCCCTTTCGTGGTGCGAGTGTTGAGGATTCGTGATTGGTTGCAATCAGATTTAGTTGTGCAATCAGCGACGTTGTTTCAAGAGTGATCATTCGCAAGGTCTCGGTAATATCCGTATGCTTCGGGAAAACTAGAACCTCTTCCCCTGCGCGATGCGCAAACGTTTCTTCTAGACAGAACTCAGTCATGTAATAGCGCTTCAATGGCGTCTCCCTCGCCCTTGTTGACAACGGATAAGCTAGCCATTAAATGTCTTGTGTGTCACATCAACACAAGTAGAGGAGGGATATTTGTGGCCCCATATTTGCTTGTATTAGTCAGGTTGGATCTAAGTCGATGTTAAACGTGTTCTGATTGGATAGACAGAAGGGAGATAATTCGTGTTGCGATTTTTTAGCCGCTTGGGGATTTTACGAGAACTGGGAAATATGGCCGTATTAGAACAGAGGTTCGTAGGAAGATATGACAAGTAACCTCTGTGGGAAGAGAATGGGTGGCAGTGTGTGGTCCTGTGCATAGAGCTCAGGTCCCGAGTCAGTTGAAGTTAAGCAAGTCAAGCGCAGAGAGTCCTTTGATGGGTGACCATGTTTGGCAGCTTGACTCCTGAGAGTTTCTAGGACTTCAGTCCTGCCCCACAACAAAGTAGTAGTATTAAGGTATGATTTGCACTGTTTTTTTCTGTGTGTAACAGAGGTTGATAGTGTCCAGTGTGTGAAGCCTGAGCTGTGATGTGACTAGATTTTTGCTATCTCAGATATTTGACAGTAATTAACACTTGTCATTGTATCCCATCGGTGTGATCGTTCACATTATCAATCACTGGATTGTCCTGTCCAGACACCATTATCAACAGTTTGCGATCATACAGCTGGAATATTGCTGTGTGCAACGTTAAACAACAAAAATACTTACGCTCAAACACAAATTCATGCACACACTCACACACACACACTCACACCAAAACACACTTTGATGTGATGATGAATTTTTATTTTCGCAAGATGTCCGTACGAGGCAACACAAAGCAGCCACTTGAAGCGTCACATGGAGACACATGACATAGTGAAGAAGTTTGTGTGCCAGCACTGCAACTACTCCGCCAACACCCCAGGCTACATGAAGATACACTACACACGCAACCACAAGGGTATGACCTTCATCGAGAAGGCAACTGCCGAGAGTGACAAGCCCCCCTCCTGGTGAGGCCAGGGTCTACAAGTGTCTCAGCTGTGATTACCTATTCGGTAATATGTCAGACCTGAAGCGCCACCTACGAGTCCGACATCATGTACAGGTTCAAGATATCTCGTGTATGGATCAGATGCACGTGTCAGAAGTACAGGTAAGATATGGATACAAAAAAGTCTGTTGGGATGCTACTGGTAATTGCTTTCAACCTGTTGGGAGTCGACTTGAAAGGCAGCTTAGTGGGTCAGATGGTAATGTTCTGGTTAATAATGCATCATCCTATAAACATGTATAGTGACTCGTACCATTTATCGCTTGATTATCTGGTCCAGACTTATGTATAGGCCATCATCTCATAGCTGAAATAATGCTAATTGTGGCATTAAATAGCAAGACGTTGATCCAGCACTGTTTAGTCAGAGCAACTTGTTCTACTGGAGAAGTTTTTCAAAAGAATCTTGAACATGAGTTTTCTTTACTCAATAGGTATGGGACCGCCTCCGTGGTGTAGTGTTTAGAGCGTCCGCCTGGAGAGCGGAAGGTCGCGGGTTCAATCCCCAACCGCGTCATACCAAAAGACGTTAAAATATGGTACTTGTTGGTCCCTGCCTGGCGCTCGGCATTAATGGGTACAACAAGGACTGGTCGGCTCGGAGTCAGTATAATGTGTCTGAGTGGGGTATTCATGCTTCACTGCGGCATGGTATCTCAGTGGGCTAGCACTATAAAACCAGCTTAAGTCTGGGCTAGTACAAGCAGCCGCACATACACACGCATGCACGTCGTCATATGAGCGAAATATTCTCAAGCACGACGTAAAACCCAATTTCACCTCACCTCAATAGGTATGGACTTATCAGGCACCTGTTTGGCAGTAACTGATTAGTGCTGACTGTTCTCGGAAGTCAGGCTGTTGATACTCAACACTCAAATATACATGCACTTTCAATTGGCCTTATGTAGTCCTAAATATATAGCAGTACTTTAAGGATTGCATACTCTGAAAGTTAAAACTATGTTGAGCACTGCAGGTGACTAATGATGTTTTATTACCTGTTACTGATTTATTAGAGCAGTAACTCACACTTCCACATGCTGCTGCCAACTAGCACTCTCTCCAGTCTCTACTGTTTCCACTCCAGGTGCTGCAGTGCGGGGAGGAGGCCTTCGCTACAGAGCAGGAGGCTGGGACAGAGGTGACCTCCACCATCACCACCGTCCAGGACAACGTTCACATACAGCCTGCAGGTAGATGGGGAGTCTGGGTTAGAATTGATGCCCAGCAAACGTTGCTGCTCGTTTGGGCTGTTTTGATTGATCTGACTTTGTGACCACACAATTATACCTGTTTTTGAAGTCATACTTCCTTTCTTAATATCTGATGATGGATCTGTCAGCTCACTCCTAATGGTGTTTTTCTGTGCCCAGGACATATTGTTTGTGTCTATATTGTTGATGGTTTGCTGTTTCAGTGGCTGGTCAGTCTGAATTGGACGAGAAAACTGCATCAGCAGTCAATCTCCTGCAGCAGATCATAGACATGTCTCAACAGGTGAGCTACCCTTTCAGTGTACCGTCTCCATGGTCTGATTGATAGGGCATCTGCCCTGAGTGAGGTAGAGTGGTGGGGTAGCCTCGTGGTTAAAGTGTTTGCTCGTCACGCCGAAGGCCTGTGTTGGATTCCCCACATGGGTACAATGTGTGAAGCCCATTTCTGGTGTCCCCCGAAGTGATATTGCTGGAATATTGCTAAAAGTGGTGTAAAGCCATACTCACTCATTCTCTCTAGTAAGCACTAAACTCACTCACTCACTAAGAGAGGAAAGTCGTTAGTTTAATGCCTAGCCACATCATTCAAAAATACCTTTGAAAAAAGTTACCTGTTGTTTCCCTGCCTGGCATTCCTCATTAAGGTGTCTCTCAGTGGCTAGCACTGTCACAGTGGTCCAAACTAGCACAGCCGTCTCTGCACACAAATTCATGCAGGTCACGAGATAAATGATATAATCGTGAAAGAGAAGTTAAACCCCATTTCAGCTGAAGGGGTCGTTGTCGGCACAGGTACTACAGATATGTACCCCAGGTACGTTTCTGTATACAGACGTACCCTAAACAAAGACAAACTACAAAAACGTACCCGGTACGCTACACGACGGACGAGTCCTTATTCCGCAACCCAAAACCGAAACCGTATATGTAGTTGTTCCCGTTCAGCTGATTGCAAGTGGTGTACGTTGTGCACCGTGACATATTCGTTACTGTGTATGCTCTTATATAACGATATCAAATGCATCTAATACAACAGTATGACCGTTCCAATGAAGAAAACTCCACAATGCAGAATGGAATCGTCCAAGGGTACGTTTCTGTATTCTGATTTTGGCTAGGGTACATTTCTGTATACAGAAACGTACCTGGGGTACACATCTGTAGTACCCATGCCGACAACGACCCCTTCAGCCCAATTTCACATCAATCAGGTGATGTTAGAATTAAATGACAACACTGGCAGGATTGGGCACAACCACTGATATTATAGGCTGAAGCCAGTCAAAATGCTGAAGGACTTGTGTTTTGATTAACACCATGCTACCACTGGTTGGCTACAACAGTTTCTACTGAGTACTACACCTTGACATGACAGACAGGAGATAAGCACTGATTACACATATATTCAAGCAATAAGCAAAGACAATAATTCGAAATATAATTCGAGCGATCTGTGGTCAAACTTTATCAATGGACAGTGAGTTGACTGTTGAGGATAGAAACTGCATTCAATCTAATGTCACTCTATTTCTTACAGTGTCAGAGGTGGGGTCAGAGTTGTCTCCCCTGAAAAATATTTGTCCAACAACTATTCTTAGTTCACAGAATAAGCTTTGGACGTCTACTGAAGTAATATTTGTTACAATATTGATACGACATACAGTTATATGTGACCCTAGACATGTCCTGTCTTTTTTCCAGGGAGCATTCGGCCAGCAGCAGCAGATCACTGTCCAGGCGGAGGATGGTCAGATGGTGGCTGTCAACCCTGAGACCATCATCGTCCAGCAGGATGGGGAGGAGGTGTTACTGACCGACGCCAATGCCGGAGTGGAGGGAGGACAGTATGTCATACAGTATGTTAGTCCTGACATGCATTTGGACAACATACCCCTGGAGATACAGACACTTGAGGAGCAGACGTCTTAGTCTATTAATATGTATGACCAAAACTATCATTGTCCAGCAGGATGGACGAATTGTTGCCAAACGATGACAATGCAGGAGTAGAGGAATTACCATTTCTTATTCAGTATGTTAGTCCTACATTTATTGGACAACATACCCCTGGAGATACAGACACTTGAGGAGCAGACGTCTTAGTGTGGCTGCAAAGATAGAAGGACTGTAGTTGTCCAGGAGGATGGGTGACAGTGCTGCTGACCAATGCCAGTGGAAAGGGACAGTATGTTATTCAGTATGTTAGTCCTGATCTGCATCTTGAGATACAGATACTTGAGGAGCAGACGCCTTAGTCTTACTGATATGAATGGCTAAGATTATCATTGTCCAGCAGGATGGGTGTAAGTGTTGCTGACTGCCGCCATTGCTAGGGTGGAGGGGGACAGTATGGTATATATTAGGGTTGGGACGGGTCGGGTACAGCTGGAATCGAGTCCTATTTCTGGGAATCGAGTACCTGGAAAGGGAGAGAACTGTAATTTATCTGCGCATGAGCAGTGAGTAGTCAAGTTACAGTAACAGCGGAAACGAAAGTTCTGTGTTTTCATGAGGAATGTAAATAATGGTGTTACTCTTTATATTGGTTAAACAGACGTAAATTAAATAGCTTTAGATCATTTTTAATGTCTTATTGCCAGCCTTTGAAGTTTTCTATAATAATCTCTGTTAAATCGTGATTGAATATTCAGAAAGTTGACAGAAGCGTTGTATTCCTTACATTTCTGGGTACTCGATTCTGATTCGGGTAAACACATGCGGGTATTCGATACCATTGTTTCCTACCCGGCCCGGCCCTAGTATATATATCTTGAGGAGCAGACATAGTGTGGCTGATAATGGTAGCCAAGATATTGTCCAGCAGGATGGGTGGAAGTGCTGCTGACTAACACCAATGCTGGGGTGGAGGGGAAAGTATGGTGTATATACATTAGACCTGCCATGTATCATGGCAACAGACAATGGGAGATACAGACATCTTGCTGTAGCTGATTTGGGGAGGTTCCTGGTTAACTTATTGATAGAAGAGATGTCCTGAAACGTCTTCAGTCACATCAACATGTCTGCAGGTATCGCCAAAACAGGCACTATTGTGTATTTCCTTTATTACCAAACCATGTGGATTTGTAGCCAAAACATTTCCTGATACCAAATCATCTGACACATCATTTTCATTGTGATTCTTGTTCACATTGTGTCAGAATGTGAGAGTGTTAGTACTGACATCACTGCCTTGTCAACATCGTCATCAGTCTGGTGAACCAGTGTAAGGTGAGCCAACCTCCCAAGTGTTGCAGAATATGAGAATCAACACTTAACATCCACAACACGTTATATCCAAATCAAAGGGATCTACTGACACCTGCTCAGATCCCTATGTTGGCCCACATCGGAAGCACTTTTTAGAAAAAAATCCCAAATTGGAATTAATAGTGTGACAAGTCATTTTATTATGCATTTGACTTGTATTTCTCCAATACAGGACCAATAAACAAGATGATGATTTGTTTTACATTATTGCATTGAATGAAATATCAAATTACCCCTGAATTCAAGAAACTACATTTTAAGAAAGTTTATCTCCCCAAGTATGTCTGCAAGGGCACTTAGCTTGGAAATCCACTCGTGAAGGTCCGGGTTAGAATTGGTCTTCAGCAACCCATGCTTGTAAGAGGCGACTAACGGGATCGGGTGGTCAGGCACACTGACTGGGTTGACACATGTCATTGTATCTCTATTGCGTAGATCAGTGTTCATGCTGTTGATCCCTGGATTGTCTGGTCCAGACTTGATTATTTACAGACCGCCGCCATATAGCTGGAATATTGCTGAGTGCGGCGTAAAACTAAACTCACTCACTAGTTTGGAATTCTAGAAAACCCCTTATCACTCCAAAGATACTTGTGTGATAAGATATTATTCAAAGTCAGTGTCAAGTCTATACAAGGGAGACTATCCGAAGCATAATATTTAAGTGTATGTTAGAACATGAAGTACACACCTGTGTGGAAAGGACTTGGTTTCCTGAACATATTGACTGGAGAATGAGAAAAGTTGCTTTTTTGAAATACTTATCAAAGGATCATAAACGAAGTGCTGTAGCTGAAAGATGCTAACATGAGGCTGAAGCAACATACAGATGTAGCAAGTTCTTCAGCAGCCATCACAGGTGTCTATCCAAATGAGATCATGAAATACAGATATTTCCAATTCATGGGAGTTAGGGATATATGATAACATAGCAGAATGGTGCTTATCTTTTTTCCAGGTGTATATATAATGCATCATGCCTCTGTGTGATATTTTGCAATGGAGAACTGGATTTGCCGTCATCGGTGCCCAGGTCAAGGTTAAATGACCTACAGGTGCAATTTTCAGAGTTCAAACTGATCAGATTAGTGTTCACACTTTTGTTTTATATTAATCCCATTATTTATTACAATTGTATACAATTTAATACTTTTGTACAATGTTCCAACTCAATGTACACTGGGAGCCATTACAAAACACAATCTTTGCACTACGCTCATTACATGAGGTATGATATCATCTCACAAAGATAGCGATGAGGAATAGGTCTCTGGTCTCTGGCAGTACCCCTCTACTTGGAACCAGTGTTATATTCATACTGCCAAATTCGAAGAAATGGTGCTCATTATTTCAGACACCTTATATGTTAACTGCATCTCGGGACAGTGACTTCTTGATGAAGGTATTACATGCACTTTTTTCAAATCCCAATTCCACCTCTGGAACATGTAAATTCTTTAACCCTAACAGTTTATTGACAGTGCCCCGACAAATGAAAGGGATTAATGAAATGATTTTGAATTTTCTGGAAAGGTATTGGAAAAGTAATGAATGTGACTATTGTAAATCAATATAATTGTCAATGGTATTTATGCATGAAATTGTACATAAAACTTGGACACCTTTGCATTTTGTCATCCATGTTTACATGGAAATAACCCATTGAATAAAGTGCATGTTGATCATGCTGAGTAAACAACGCTATCATTGTTTTGTTATACCAGGTCTGCACAGTATTAACATTATACTGGAATATGATTATATTATTTATCATATATATTTATTGCAACATTGTTTACAGTCTGTTTGATTTCATTTGAGATCGATGAATTGCTCACTAACATAAAATATAATAATTGCAACAAATGATTATTTTTTAGTCACTTTTCGTAATTTTTGTACATGGGGGAACCACTTGCTGGTAGAATAGCCAGGTAATCAACAAGCATGTGTAGTTAAATTTCCATTTCACACATTCAAATGTGCACACCTGGCTGTTCTACCAGCAAGTGGTCCGACCCAATCCCCCCCGCCTCGTAAAACAATTTTTTTATTTGGTTGTCCAACTTTTTTATTCGGATGTCCAAAATTATGAGACAAATCATTGGTTGGTCTGTCGATTTCTTGTGACTGTAAAATTTGGTTTTGTTGCAGTTATTAGATTTTGTGTTAGTGAGATATTCATTAGTCTCAAATGAAATCAAACCGACTGTGTTCCTGAATATTCAGTAAAGGATAACTTTCACCATTATTTGTATTGTTTAACCAAATGTTTCCTGTCGAAGCTGACTAACTGAATGATGGAAATGTTGCAGTGATTCGGCCAATGACAAATGCTTGATTTGTTTATTTGTCAAATCTCTCACATTTTCACTTGACAAGGGTATTATTTCCTGTTTGTCCACTTGAGGCATTACTAAGTAGTTCCTGCCTGTACATATACGCAAACTGGCAGTTTTCTCATGCGGGTTCTGTACACACATATAGAAAAATATTTTGACTTTTCATGCCTCTGTATTTTTGAAGGTCAGAGGTGTCTTTACATGAAGCTGCACAGGAACTAGGAACTCATTTCTGATCACCTCTGGATTTCGATTCAGAAATTTTCAGGAACATGTGAACTAAAATATACTAAGACAATGCAAAGCAGTATCAACAGTGTTTATTTTTAAAATGGTTTGAATATGTACACACAACTTAATAAGGCACAACAGAATTATAATCATGATAATAAGAACGAAATGAGTCTTCTATTGTAAAACAGCTATAAAGAAGAGGATATTGCAATAGCAATTGATACTTCAAGGATTATCCCTGAACCATTTACAAACTTGAAAAAAATTCAATAAAATTCAACCAGATGCAAACAATACTGGTATGTCTTGCATTCAGACATATTTTCAGGGTTGTTCATGTCCTAGGTTTAGCTGCTGCCAATACCACTGGTTGTATGTTCAGACGGATCAGCTTGCTATCACTGGTAGTACGACTTGCATCCCAATAAATATATTCAGGGTTGTCAGTGTCCTATGGAAATCTGCTGTCAACACTGTTGGTACATCTTATGTTCCGACTGATGTACGGGACCGTTCATAATTTATGGCAAGTGGGGAAGATGATGATTTTTATGAAGATGATGATTTATATGCTGAAGCATATACAATGTGAATGACCCTCCTAAAATTTATGCCTCCCCTCACCTTTCTCATAATTTTTAAGCATAAAATTTTAAGTACAAAATTGCTGACACCCCCCAACCCCCAGTACATGTGTACAAAATTGATGCCCTTCCTCCACAGAACAAAATAGGTGACGCACGCACGCACGCATACACACACGCACGCACACTTAGCCATAAATTATGAACGGTCCCTAGTCTGGGTGGTCCATTAGGTGGCTGTCTGCTAACTGCCAACACTGTTGATACGTCTCATGTTAAGACTGATTTATGCAGGGTTGTCCTTTGTCAGTAAAGCTTGTCGCACTGCCATGACAGACATTAAATCTAAATTCACACACCTGAAGTTAATGCCCGAACACACATCTGACACATTGTATTTTCTTCATTGTTAACATCAAAATGTGTGTTTCAGTATAATTCATTGAATATTCCCACTCTAATAGAAGTGTTGCACCAATGATAAGACACCCCTCCCCTAATATAAATACATAAGAGACCAGTTCAAAAGTCTAAAGTCGGATATTAAACTTAATTCCTTGAATTTTGAGAAATATTCCCATCCACCATAAACCACAAAAATTAATACTGAAAATGTGTAATTCCTTAGTTTACTGGCCCCCAGATATGCATCCTGAGATCAGTGGGCAGTAACCATGCAATTTCGTGGTTTTCCCTGCTTTTTCATAATGTTTATCATCTGGGATGTATTTACTACGTTGAAATTCATTTAAAGGGTTTTATAGATCCAATCTGCCTATGTTACTAACTGCACAAGAAGATCTCACCAGGATGAGCAAACCCAAAATCATGAAAAGATCTGTTTTATGACAACTCAGCACAGCATATGAATAAAAATGACATCAGTGAAATATGATCAGAGGTCTTTTCTTCGTTTAATACCTTCATGAAACAACGGTAAATCAGTTAAAATGATTTTGTTTCAAGATAGGAAACTTGCAGAGCCATGAACGCACTGACACCAAGACTTGAGATTTTCATGCAACATCAATCTATGGTGCTGGGGCTCCTTTCACGAAGCAACCTTTACTAAGGTTAACCTTAACTCCCATTCTTTAACATTGCACTAAGGTTACCTTAGTGACTTACGATCACCTTAGTGCTCTGTGAAAGGAGGCCATGGCCCCTAAGACAAATGCTTTTAGTCAACATATACTTTCCAGCCACATCATGAACTGAGCACACCATGTAACTTAAGATGTTTTACATTGTTCTGGAAAGTTTAACTGTAGAAAATAATTAAACCTTCCATTTCTATCCCGCCGTGATGTTGCTGGAATATTGCTAAAAGCAGCGTAAAACCAAACTCACTCAGTCAGTCCATTTGTATCACAAGTCTCAGCCCCAATCACCAGAGGCATCTTTTCAAGAACCCTTTTGCCTTGTATTACTTTGGAAGTATGAGCTGTATATGGTATTTGTTTATTGCACAAAGTACATATAACATAGGAACATACTCCATGTTCTTATGTCCTTGGCTAAATATGAATTTAATGGTCTTGGTTAAATATGAAAGTACGGTTTATGATATTAAGTGATGACTGCAGCTGTATCTATAATAACTGATGCTGAATTAATGGCCAAGTTGATTTAGGTTTACAATTATTAATGTCACAAATGCACATTCACAGGAAGCACACACATGATGGATAATACTAACTTCAGGCTGTAATCAATGAAGTAGATCATACAAAGCACCTCAGTAAATTTCATCAGTGCTTTTCATCACAAATTGCTTTATTAAATCAAATTGATTCATAAAATTATGAAGGACCTTGAAGGCCAAGTCTCCTTGGGCATGGCAATTCATGTGCAGAGTTTCCTCTCGATAGCATCACAGAAAACAATGATCATGGTTTCAAAGCCTGGATGTCCCCTGTCATATTTTTAAGTTTGCTAGTTCCATACATATGCTTGTGAGTTTCATCCAAGTGGTAAGTGTTAAAGATCTGCATCACTTAGGACCACCCTCAACATCAAGTGGGGCGGTGGAATAGCCTAGT